TTTTATAAAAATTACATATGAAATCTAAGATTATACTTATAATCTTATACAATTATAGTTTTATCCTATCTTATTATGTATTATAGATACAATAATTTTATAAGAACAAAAATTATAAGTAATACAATGATTCTAAATAATTTAAATTTTCTAGAAGCATATATATTGTAAACTGATTTAGATAACTTCAATCACCCAAAATCAAAAAATAATTTAGTATTTTTCTTAATTTAAAATAAAAAAATTCCTAAAAATTTATAAAATTATAAAATAAAAAAATATTATAAATTAAAATATAGTAGTAGAAATAATATCTTCTTATCTCATTCTTTCATGCACTACTATACTTAAGTAGTTCCAAAAACTTTACATAGCTCATTTATTCTTTATTATATGACTAACAAAATTTATTGTAATGAAAATTTTTAACTTAAAAATATTGGTTGTCTCTATGTTTCATTACATCTTTATAATTTATGATTCTTTACAAAGAATACATAAAATGCATCCAAAGCACATAAACTTTTAATGACATCCTAAATTCATCTACTACATATAATAATTTAAACTAGTGTAGCAATTAAGAATTTAAAAAATTGTTTATTTTAATATTTCCAGTCAAGACCTTATAAAAATATATTAAATACAAATCATTAGTTAAGATATAATATAAAAAAATTATAATATTAAATTTAAAAATTTTAAAGTATCTTATATATAACCAATATATATATATATATATATATATATGATTTTATAATTCTAATGCCAATTTTTTTAATATTTTAAAGTTCAAATCTTATTGTTTTTATTTTTTGCCTTAAATATTGACATATGAATTAATATATATATTTTTTTAAGGCATTTCAGACCATAACTAATAACTTCTCTATTATCAATTCTAAATTCTTCTATAACTCAAATAATATTGATTATAATACTCTTCTTTAAAGTATTTAAAAACAATGTCAATATTTTCATGAAGAATAATATATTAAAATATTTTTTATGAATATTTCAAAAATATCTCAACATTTAATTTCTAATCATTATCCATATTACTACCATTAGATAAATAATATAACTTCTTCATTTTTTATATATAAGACTCTCAATGAAATGACCTCTAAAGTTATGGTTGTCACAGACATCAATATTGGCATGAATAATTACAAGAATAAGAAGAATAAGGTAGAAATAAAAATAAATGAATTTGATAATATCTTTTGAAGAAGCCTATTAGAAGCTTTATAGATGCTATTTTGACTTTATAAAAATTTATAGATAATTAATAAGTTAAAATTTAGGTAAAAAATTTAGCCATGTATTGTACATGTTAACTACTTGTTATATAAGTTTTATACTTATTGCACATTTTAACCACTTTTTGTATAAGTTTATTTTTTATTTTTGTATTTGGTTACATTTTTTATTATAGATTATGATTATAATTTAAATTCTATTAAGATCCTTAAGAAACCAAATCACAAGCCAAGACATACATTTTTCTCTATTATCACCTTACTTATTAGAAACTCTTAAATATTCTTCCAAATTATCTTTCATCTATAATTTTTTAGTCTAAAAAATAATACAATGTCAAAAATTATACTTTTATTATTATTAGTTGTAATTTAATACAATACATATATAAGTATCTAATCTCAATTGAGGCATACTAAATTAAACTTTGTACATTATAAATATCAATAAATATTTAAATATCATTTAATTAATTTAATAATTATTAATATAATAAAATATTAAATTAAAAAATAATTGGTTTTATCTATTATCAATTAAAAATCAAAGCATTATAAATGAACTTATTATGACCATGTATACATTCTTAGATATGTAATAGATACCCAAACTACTTAAGTAAATAGAATTAAATAAAAGGAAGTGGAAGTACATAAAAACATTCTTGAAAGATAACATCTTTCTTAAGAAGCTTCAAAGAGGTTTATTAAATGAAGATTAGATATTTAGATTTTATAAATAAGCCATGTGACTATTGAAACTTATGCTACAAGTTTCTTATTTCTAAGAAGTCATGTTAGAAGTAACATTTAACTCAATGTTTGGCTACAAGCATTGTGGTTCTTAGAAAGTTTTTATAAGACTTTTTTTGTAGCTAGTATATATAGAGGCAAGATTAACGCCATCTTTAATCTTATCATAATTTTTTATTTTTTTATTTTTTATTTTTGTTCTATACTTGATTCAAGACTTTTTAGCATCTTTTTATTTAACAATAGCCATTTTAGTTTTTTTTTTCAATCTTACAACTATCTCTTCTTTTTGTACTTTCTAACTTCTTTAATAATACATGAATATATTTTCTTTTAGATTATGTTAAGATTCAATTTCTAGATAATCTAAGTCATTAAAATGAGATGTTGATAAAGATTAAAATACTTACTTCCATCCAACAAAGATTATCAATGTATTGGTGTTATTCATTTATTTTTAATCAAATATAATGATACAAGAATAATTTGACTATGTTATTTATTTGCGATCTAACAAATAAATAGCTCTTAATTAATTTAATTTTACAAAAGGCCTAGACATGACTTTTTTTTTAGCATTTGTATCTTTTTTTACATAAATTTTTTATTATTTCTAATACAATATATTTTTTTATACCATACACATCTTTAATAGTAAAGAAGACTTTTTAATAATTTTTTTATCTGAAAACCTTTCAAATATATTGTTGGGATTCTTCTCTAAACTTCACTTGCCTTAATGTGTCACATTTATGTCTTGTTCATAGATCAAATCCAATTAAAATTTGATTCTCAATGTAAAATCTTTATCTAACAGTTGAACCAATGGTTGCATATATTAGTCTATTAGTTAATTCTCTCACCTCTATATTACTACTTTGTAGAATTTTAGTTGTTAGAATGTAATTTGATTTGGAATGTATAAATTTTAAATAGAACCAATTTTTATTGATATATTATTAAGAGGATGTTAAAGACTTAGAATTTGGTTGTATGATCTTATTTCCAATCTCTTGTGATGTATTAGAAGCTTTAGAGCTTGTGAATCATGCTATTGTTTTCAAAATATCATGTATTTGTCAATATAATTACTTATTCTTACAATTCACTATAAATATGAAAAAATATTCATCTATAATAACTCATGTTTTATCTAATTCATTTTCTTGTCTTTAAATTGAGTCTTATATATTTCTATTATCTTTTTTTTATAATAAATTTTTTTTAGTCGTTTTATTCTATTGATAAGAAAAAATTTTAATAAGAAAAAGATTATTATAACCTATTAAAGGAAAAAATTGTCTCTAAGTCAATAGATTATTTAAGAAGATTTTTAATCCTTATTATTATTTTTCTACTCCATTTTCAACTTCTTTGTAATATAAATAGCCACCATTGTTCAATTTTATAATATTTATATAAATTCCATTTAGTTCCATTGAAGTAGGAAATTTTGTACTTTCAAAAAAATTCAATATTTTTAAATAATTTTTTTTAAATCAAAATTTGCATCTTATTAAAAGGTATGAATTCTCTATATGGTTATATACACCAAAATAATATCCTACACATGTATAGTTTAAGTTCCAAATTTAAATAAAATTGAATCTTTTTCAATATTCTTTTCTAATTCTCTATCAGTTTTTTAGATTTATCTAATTAAGTAGCTATTTTCTTTTTAGGAAGTTTCTCCTCCTTCCACTTTGCAAAAAATGATATAATATTGTAAGTTCTTAAAAGATTCATATCAGCTGCAACAACCATGTTGTCGACATCAACACTTTTAAATTCTATTCTCATAGGAAAAAAAATCACGGTTTTATAAGGAGCCTATCTAAAGATTCTCTTCTAACATTGTCTTAGTAAGATAAGGTTGTTATATTTGATTGTGGATCTCCATTACTTAAGATATGTCATATTTCTTTGATAAATTCCTCTATGTAATTGAAATGCTTATGCCACCTTTGTTTACTATTTCATATATGCCTCCATATCTTGTTATTATTTCTTTCTATACTCACAATACGTAGTAACCCATCCCTGAAACCTACTCCAATCCTAAATCATTTTCTTGGATTTTTATTTTATTATATTTTTAAAAGTTCTGTATGTTGATTTTTCAAACTATATTAGTACATACATTATAACCTAGCAATACAATCAAACTCAATATTCACATTTTTGTCACATGATGTAGCATTGGGTGCCAATTTTTTTCGAATGGATGTAATTTAGTTTATATATATATATATATATATATAGAATGAATTTTCATTCATTTAGTATTTCCCATTAGTTGAATTTTTATCAAAGAACGTCGGTTCGTATGCAGCACAGGCTTTCTGTTTTCCAGCAGCATTCTTCACAACCAGGAAAACAAATAAGGGTTGTGCTCACTTCAGGAATGTGTTGCATGAAGACTGGTTGCATTTCCTGCTAGGGAGTGGGACTCCAGTTCCGAATGCAGCCTTCAACTCTACTCATAGCACAGCCGGTTACTTCATCCTGCAGGAATACCCAACTGTTTGTAAGCCACAGGATACTGCAAGTTAACTCACTGATTTTCCTCTGTAATTGGAAATCTCATCTAGAACAATGCCGGAGATGTACAGTTTCTACGATGACAATCGCCCTGCATCCGGACCTATCCGTGAAGAACTAAATCGACTGATAGCTACAAGGTTTGAGGTTTTGTACTACTGAGAATGATGGGCTGAGCTGTTCCTATATGCACATAGAAACAGAATTTCTAAGTCAGTGCCGACTAGCTTCATACCGCCATGGAAATATCCCTACCTTGTGGCGAGCCTGGTGATGGTAGACCTACGAAAATGTTGCAGTTGACTAAGACACATCTCCAGTGTTCTAGATGGGCCAGATCAAGTGCCTCAGAGAGATCGTCGAAGGGTCATACGAAGATTCACTAATCACAACGAGTAGACAGGTAAGGGAGACATGTGCAACAAGCAAGGCCTTCAAACGATCTCTTCTGAAGCAGCTAGCTCCACCGTAAAGGGAAGGGAGCGAGAGAATCATTTCCGGAAGAAAAGTTTACAAATGCATATCCTGTCCAAGGATTTCGACATGTTCTCTGTAGTATACAGGAAAACCTCTTTCCAGATCCTCAATATTCACTCCAAGGTACATCCCGGTGCCCAAGAAGCTAAAGAATAGAAGAATCTCACACAATCCTGGGCAGCTTCTCTAGAAACTAGATTTCCTTGAGGTAACTGGTTATTATTCTACGATAAAATATCTATGAACAGCTGAGTTGGCTCCCGATCGTTGCTGCTTCTGCGCCGGATGCACAATCTGCACATCAGACAAAAGTAAGAGGTACATAATCGGTACACTGCGAATTCCCCAAAAAACTGCGCCTCGCCTCAAATTCTTAATACGGCGAGTACTCCTGCAAGAACTGCGGCGATCACCGACATCCTGGGGGATGCAATTCGCCATGCTGCGGCTAAGTCACCCGGAACAGGCGAATACAATCCGGGGGGTATTGAAGGGGGTAAAGCGGCTCCAGGAGGCAGCACAAGGGCAGGGCACTTCAAGAGATCCACGTTTACGCGGCATGTGATGGGTAGGGCATAAGCTTTCGTGACATTTACATTGTGATTGTCTCCCAATTCTAAGATGATGGTACACAAGCATCCGGGGTTGATCGAATTCAACTCCTCAATCCCACCGCAACACACCGCGTTCGGCACAACGTCCGGACCTTGGACGAACGTCAAGCACCCAGGCAGATAGTTGTACGCCGAATCACACTCTCCCTCTTCTACAGCACTAACTCCTCTTCCTCCTGCCACCACTAGACCTAGCACCAACACAACCACGACGCAAATCCTGGCGACCATCATCTCGCCCGGCGGTACTCGGCGACCACCTCTAGTTCGTCACCCCCCACTCCGCTCGACCCCACAACCTCAACTGTGGCATGAAAAAACTCAGCTAGAATCGATGCCAACCAGCTTTCAGAACTCTCCCCTATGCGACCCAGATTGCATTGTCCACAGCCCACCCCCTCCCCTTCCCCGCAACCCACATATGCGGCCGTGTTTCGCCGTATCTATCCGCGGTCGATGTGGCTGATAAAGTTTCATCTGGCAGATGTACAAGCAAAATGGCGGAGCCGCAAAATCCTTCCCTCGAATTTAATAAAAGAAAAAAAAGAAAAAAAGCAAGGGTGCCTGCTGCCACTGACCCCAAGTCAGGGGCGTCCTCTAGCTGGAGAATCTCACCTACTGCCCCTCTCGCTCGAAACAATGCCGTTAGATAACCTCGTCTTCGGCCAATTTCCACGGAAAAGGTTTACCTACTCTAGGTAGACCACCTGACACCTTTGGCGAAGTTCTGGAGTGGACCAGCGACGCTCCCACCCTTAAGCATTCGGGACGATCCTCTCCTCCTCTTGGGCTCTGGCGTCGCACCTGAATTCTTCGTTCCGTCTCGGGGTGCGACCAAGCAAACCAGTCCTCCTCCTCCGGCGTCTACTATTTGGGAGACTAGTAGTGGTCACGAATTCGCTGCGTCTCGCACTGCTCCTTCGACTCCTGTTGCTGGATCAATCGTTGCTCCACCTTCACAATTCGCTCCGCTCCCATGTCCATTCTTCTCATCCGAAATCAGTCTCGCCTGCTCCGCCTCGAGACTCGTGACGAGACTTGACGCGCCTCGCCGCGCCGCGTATTGGCGTGACGCGGCGTGACGGGACTTGACGCTGCTTCGTCTGGCGTCAGCCTTTGCGTCGCGTGGACTTGGCAAGACGAAATGACGCCGTGGAGGCTCTTTTCTTATTCTTTTTTTGTTTTTTCCTTTATTAAAGATATAATACTTTGTTTGATAAGTGAGATAGATAAAAAATAATTAATTAATAAAGGCTATACTGACACTAGCGATGAGTTATAGACAAGTAAGTTTTTGTGTAGGGATGATGTTGATTTTAGAGATGTGCAAAGGAATTTACAAAAAAATATGACAAATTTGTTGAGTATTTTGTGGTAGTATATCTGTGTAAAAAAGAGATGTTAAGTGAATTTTGTAATTTTTGGAATAGTGTAAAAAAGAGATGTTAAGTGAATGTCATGCTTGTGTGTGTAATTAAAGACATGGTTTTTTAGAAAGAATTAAAAAATTTGGTCGTAAAATGTTTTAACATATGTAAGAATGTAGATATTACATAACTATGTAGTTATTTGGATAAATAAATCTTATTTCGATAAATTTGAAGATCAAAAATAATTACAAGCTTAAAAGATCTATCAAAACTAAAATATTTAAATTTTAAATAAATGAATTAAAATTTCATTTTTATTATTATTATAATTATCATATATTTATTTTTATAGGAATTTTTCAGATAGTTCATAATATGTATATATATATATATATATATATATATATATATATATATATAATATTTTTTGAATAAAACATCTTACCACTATTGCCTTCTTTCAAGCACACTCTTCAAATTTGGAACTTGTAATAGATTTAAAAACTTATTTTATTTACAGTTTTTTATATAAAATTTATACCTAAATGATATTAAATAGACAAAAAAACATCAAAACATACATTATTTCAAATAAAATATTATTATATTAAAACACATATTATTATTTTTATAATATAAAATCTATAATTAAAAAATATTATTTATGAGCTTTTTGTAAAATCATTTTATTACTACTATTCTAATCGTTGTCTTAGCATATTTTATAAATATATATATATAATATTTTTAAATATTATATTAAGTTTTTTATAATAATTTAAGCACAACTTAGAATAAACTATAAAAAGGATCAAAATAGTAGTTGTAAAGTTTTTTAAAGACAAATTGCACGATTTAAAATTAAAACTTTAAACAAATGTTGGTAATTCATTTTAAAAATATATATTAAAAATTATTATATTATAATAGAAATTTTTTTAATTAAATAATTAAATAATTATTTTTTATTTGATGCTATATGAATCTTTATTATTATTTTCATGAAATAATTTTTTTTAAAATTAATATTAAGATATTTGAGAAATTTTGACAATAAATACAATTCATATAAAGAGTTATAAAGCCACACCATCCCTTGCCATCTTATGATTAGTTTCGTCCATCCTCTAACTTTGTCATTTGTTTTTAATTCCATGTCTTATGTTTCCAACTCCTTGTCCATTGTTTCTATCCCCCCCTCCCATCTCTTGTTTCCAATACATCCATTTTTTGTTTCTAGCATCCATGTTCCTTATTCCCAATCCCCTTTCCATCCTTGTCTCTTGTTCCTAGCACCCTCCATCCCTATTTCCTTGTTCTCAATACCCTTCATCCTCATTTTCTTATTTCTCAAGCCATTAATGGATTTATCAAATTCTTTTGAATTTAATTGTGCATTTTGTTCTTTATTTTCAAGCTTGTTTCATACAATTTATATAAGAAATTACGTAGCACAATTGAAAAAACTATATTTGAAACTAATTTCAATGATGGTCTCATAAATGTATTTTTTGATTTCTTTCTTGAAGTTGCATCACCCATCTCTTTAAATTTCTAGGAGATAAGGCCATGAGTACTTGATGTCCATTTTTCACAATCAATTGAACTTAATTCCACACCAATATAATTCAGCAACTATCAAAGTGATTGACCATCAAATAAATGGTGTTGTGAATAACATATTAGAGTCTCTAAAGCATTGTACTTTGAAAGCAACATTAAAATGTGATTTTAAAATTTTGTTTATATTTTCCTTGACAAACTTTGGCAAATTTTGGCAAATAATATAGAAAGGTTTATACTATCTACAAATATTTTATTAGGCAACCAAGAAATGAGATAGCTCTCTTTGTTTGTTGGACATAGCAAAGTTAGACTACATCAACATGTTCAAGTCAATTTGTCAATTGATGTCACCACAATTCACATCATGTATTGTTGGCAGCAAGTCAAAGACGCATTAAGAGAGGGCAAGACAAGACATTCAAAAAGCCTCTAATATCCTTGATATATCTTCTCATAGATTTGTTTCTAGTAAAATCAATGGTCACAAGTTTGCACTAATTCAAATGAAAGTCATCTTCTCCAACATGTGATAGCAAACTTCTTGCAAATCATTTTATATCTTTTCTAAATAATTTTTTTTCTCTATTGCAAGAATTTTTTCTTGCATTGTTGTAATCAGGTATTGGTTTGATCTAGCTTTCTCAATTGAGCAGTAGAAGGATGATTATATGGTAGATTTTTTGAATCAAAGTAGAAAATAATGAAGTGCATCTTTAATATGAAGAAAAAAAAGGTACCTAAGCCAATTGTAGATGAGGCAACTTAAATAGTAAGAGTAGCTCTCACTTGCTTGATTTGAAAAATGAGATCTTATAATTTGAATTGGATTGTAGACTTATAGATGGTTTTTTTTAAAAGATTGGTAGAAAATCATTATGCATGGATGTGAGAATCATTGAAATGGAGGTAGTAGAATAGACGCTAGCAAAGAGAGGAAAAAAGAAGCATGTAGTGAGCAAATTTATAAGCATGGTAATATAATCAATGAGAAGATTAAGAAGTTAGATAGAGAGACATTTACGTATTAGAAGCGCATCAAGAAGACTTGGCCAAATTATATAAAAGAGGTCTTAAAGAAGAATTGAGGAGTTAGGGAGTAGAAAGGAAGGATAGGAGAAATGAAACGGGGATGTAAATAAATGACATGGGATTGGAAATGCAAGTCAGAGATAAGAGATGGATGGAACTAATCATGAGATGATATGGAGGTGTAGCTGTAACAATTTCTTATATTTTGTAGAAGCTTATGTTATTCAAAGGAATATGTGGTTTTAGACTTATCAACATGAATTAAAAATATAGTTTTAAAGCCAAAAGAGACCTTAAATTTCCAGATAATATAGGCATTTGACAAAATAAGAATCAATGAAATGATAATAGTTGCTTGATTTTATTTTTTTTATAATATTATTTTACAAGTGATATCTTGATTATAAGTAATATCTACAAAAATGATTGATATTTCAAACACCAATTTGTGAACTTTAGATGTACTTTGTGAAGTTTTTGAATTAGCCATGTTTTATAGACCTTCTAAAAGTATATTCATGAAGAGAAGAAAAAAAAACAAAACTAAAAACTACAAACTAAAATATCTAAAGAATTGATTTGCTTTGATTTTATATGAATCAAGATAATAAAATTTATTAAAAAATTATAAACTAGTTTTGAATTTTATCTCATTTTACTTATGATTTTTACAACAAAAATTAGTATTTAATACTTTTAAACCAAAAAAAAAAAAAAAAAAAAAAAATGATGCATTTAATGTTAATCAAGTTAGCATTTTAAAATAAATTTAATCTTTTGTATATAAAAAAAAATAGAAAACGCAACTTGACACATCAGCATAAGTCTAAAATAGATGCTTTTATATAAAATATGTTTATATATATATATATATATATATATATGTCAAAGAGTAAGTTATCTGATACAATAATATAAATAAATCATTTTAGTAAATAGATCAAAAAAATTATAAAAAATAATAAATTATGTTACAATGTAATTAATTACAAATTAACCATGTCTAGTCACAAAAGATTTTAAGATAAGTTCTGAGAGTGGAATTAGCCACATTAATAATGGTTTTAATTTTATAAAATTTATACTATTTTAAAACTATAAATATGTTTTAGGAAGTTTTGTTCAACTTCCACATCTATTATTTAAATAAATTTTAAATCAAAATATTTAAAATAAGATATTAAAAAATTACCTCTAAAAATATTTTAATAATAAGAAGGCTCTCAATTGTAATATATAAAAAATACAATATTATAATATATATTGGAAACAAATCTGAATAAGCATAAAAAATTTATATATTTTTATGTATTTGAATATACATGTTTATATATATATATATATATATATATATATATACAACATTAAAATATAAAAGACATGAAAAAGAGCTACGCATACCTCATGCTATTTTTTGTACCATATATTAGATTTATATTTATACTACGTTTGACATATATATGTGTATATATATATATAAATATATATATATATATATTTATAAATAAAATTTATAAATTTATAATAATTAATAAAATCACGAGTTTTATCCTATTACTATAAAAAAAATAAAGTGTTAGGCATATTGAAGAATAACTACTATGAAGTCACAACACTTAGCATCAGCAAGGTTACACACAAAGAGAATATGGAGTTATTGAAGAACAAGTACCATGAAGTTATAGCACTTAGCATCAGTAAGGTTGCACACAAAGAGAGTATGTAATAAGATATCTCTCACTTCCAACAATTAATACTTATAGGTGGTGGTTGTTGTCATAGAAGACAACTTCCACTCTTTGATTTTTGTACACATGGTTCTAGGATTCTTTAGCATCTAATTTCCCTTGAGAGTATCTTATGGTCCTAAGATCCTTTACTATCTTATTAACTACAAAGATATTCTATACCAAACACTTATTACTCTTACCTAGTCTTTGGATATTCCCTAGTTCATACTTTATCCTCTTAACTTTGACTCGTGGTCCTTAATTTCATCCTATATCCATAGAATGTCCCTTTTA